TCCCTCCTATGGCATTTTTAGTATAAAAATGGTACATAGCCGCGTACACCTGACGTCATTTTGGCGTCCTCTACGAAATAATGTTAATTGGGGATTATATGTTTTCAAAGTTATCTATTTTTGTTGTTTACGGCTTTTTCGTCTTTCCTAGAATATGGATAATGTGCGCGTTCTATACTCTTATCGATGTGGCCGCCCGGACGCTTATATTATTACTATTATCGGGTTACGTGCCCTCTGCAGCATTTATATCTGTTATTGAATATAATATATTATATTATAAGCGTATTATACTTAATACAGCATAATATAATATAATATTTTATATATTATTACTATTATAATATGTACGTAGTCACAGCACGTTACGATATTAAATATAATATCTGTAACGCTTAGGACATAAGAATATTGTTGAACATTTTACTGCAGGCTGCGTGTTTTTTTCAGATATGGTATTTATTCGTCAGTGAAGATTTGTCAACTGGGAATAATATATCATAAGCAGACTGAAATGTGTGAACGTTTGTAGTATTTCGAAGACTAAGTTTTATAGCAGATTTTGATTCGGACACGGGGTATGTATTTTCTTATTTTTCAGTAGGTTTCTTTTTATTATAGTTAACCGATCAGGGTTGTATTGCCCGAAACTTTTCAATTATTTGTATTTTAATTTATTTATATATATTTACGGGCAAAGCCCTTTACAACAATTTAACACAGGACAATACAAATTTAGATACTATATAAGTTTAAACATGAAAATAATTCAATAATAGTAATAATAATAATAATAGGTAATATAAATTAGTAATAGTAAAGTGGAACTAAAAATTAAAAAAAAAAAAAATTAAAATATATTATGGTAAATGGTACTCTCATTGACCTGCCGAATCATGCGATCAATAGGATTATTTTTGCCATAATTTGTAGTGTGCGTAGAAACTTAGAATGGGATATGTATTGTAACTATACTGGTATAACACTATTCTGGCTATCAATAGTCGTGAAAAAAATTAGGAAATTGGTCAGGTATGATATTAATAATTCAATTTTTTTTTAAGCATTTAAATCTAGTTTCATTTCTTGTATAGATATGAACATTGATAAAATACAGGTGCCCTGACCTCTGTATTATA